AATTCGAGCTGATGATGGAAGGCGCGCAGATACTTGGCTTCTTCGACAGGTCCCTGCCATACCCAACAATCGGCATGAACACAGTACGAGAAGCAGCAGTATACCTACCAATCAATGATGGCGTACACGATCCTACTGAGAAACATCACACCGACTCAGCAGCAGAATATACGGTCTTACCGAGGTTACGGCAACTCCGCGGAGCTCGCATACAGCCACTTGAAGAACCTGTATCAAGCAACAGACAGCGTAAACCAGAGTCGGTTAATGGCGCAATTGACAACGGTCGAAATGAAACCAGGCGAGAAGGGAATAGCCAGGCGAGAAGGGAATGGCGTATATCAGCCGATGTCGCGAGCTGCGCGACAAGCTTCTTCGATGCGGAGGGTCGATATCTGAGGACGCCTTCGTGACAGTCATCATTGGCGGCCTCGGTCCTCAATGGCGCGCCACAAAGGCCATTCTCCGAGCCCACGGAAGAATCTCCGAAGCAGCGCTCTGCGCCGAAATCCACGCCGTCCAGCAAGACATGGACCTGCAAGAAGAACGACACAAGAGAAAGGCATCAGTACCAGAGTTCGCGTTCCACACTCAGCGACGCTACGGCAACAACAACAACCGACAACAACCAAAACCCGTACCTCCGTTCTGCCACATCTGTAAGACGTCAGGGCACCCGCGCACGCACTGCCCGAATCGACACCAGTCAACTCCACCACAGCGACAGCTTCGACCTTCAAGTAGCCAAGTTGCCTCAACGCAAGCGAATCCCACGACCCAGGTTCAAGTCTCAACAACACCAACGGGACAACCTGCACAAGGAGAAAGGAATATCGTCAGTTGCATGGCAAGATTGACCGACTCCTGCGTCACTGAATCACCACCACATTACTCACCGGAAGAACAGCTCGACAACAGCACACCCCGCCGCGAGTCACTTCAACCGAACCCAACGTACGCAGCCATCGCCCAAAGCGAGCCATCCGGAAAGGATACCTGGTTCTTGGACAGCTGCTGCGGACAACACATGTGTTCCTCAGGACGCTTCGTGCAGCGAGAGTATCAACTTCAACGCGAAGTAGTCATCACCGTCGCCAACAATCAGAACCTGCGCACACGACGACAAGGCGTGGTACAACTTCAGTCACGAGAAACAAGTGTCATTCTACAAATGACCAAGGTTTTAATCGCAGAAGGCCTCGGCTACAACTTACTGAGCGTCAGTCAGTTGATGGCGAAAGGCATTCACCTCGAAGCAGACAGCACCGCTCAAGAGTTCAAGCTGTACCACGGGAAGGGCGGTCTCTACATCGGAAAAGCAGTCCTGAAAAATAATGTCTTCGTTCTCGATTTCGTTCCAGATCTTGGCACCGCCGACAGCGACGGCATCGTCAGCTTTGCTCCTTGGACACATCCTCCAGATCTTGACCCAGACTTCAGCCCCGGTGGTTTCTGGCACTCTCACACGATACCTGAGACAGAACGAACAAGAGCGTTAGCAACAATTCAACAATCGGCAGCAGCAGAGACAACATCGGCAGCAGCAGAAACAACATCGGCAGCAGCAGAAGCAACATCGGCAGCAGCAGAGACAACGACAGCAGCAGCGGCAACATCGACACCAATCGCTGGTCCTTCAACGGCACCAATCTTCATCGACGATTCGCCACCAACACCCGCACAACAGTTAAACCCGGCACCTCGTGAAGTCCACCGAAGCACCAACGTCACTGCCGGCTTCTACTCCAACTCCGATCTGTATCGACGATCACCCGGACATCGCGCCACTGAAGGAACCTGGCACGCAAGAATGGGACATCCAAGCAACACAGTGTTAAACAACACGATAAGAGCAGGAGTGCTCGACAAAGACTCACTCCTACTGACCGACGGCAGAGAACTTCAGCGAGCCCGTGGAACGTGCTTCACCTGCCCTGAAGCTGACTTACCGCATCAGCCGTTCGTCTCGCATCACAATCCAAGCGCACCTGCGTACACACCTCTGGAAAAGGTGTACAGCGACATATTATACAACCGTGAACCCGGACAAAACGCCTACAGTTACACCATCACGTTCATCGACGCCGCGACACGCTACGTGTGGCATCTCAACCTTCCGAGCAGGGACATGGCCTTCGAAGCCTTCGTAGCATGGCTCCCCGTAGCAGAACGGGAATCGGGCGTCAAACTAAAGAGTTTCCAGTCAGACGGAGGAGGAGAATACACCTCACAGAGGTTCAAGCAGTACTTGGCAGAAAGAGGGATCAAACGGCTCATCTCTCTTCCCTACGCCCACCAACAGCAAGGTGTAGCAGAACGGATGAACAGGACGCTCCAAGCCACCATGCGCAAGCTGCTACGTGGCATGCACCTGCCCAACCACCAGTGGCCCGAAGCAATGGACCACGCCGTGATGCTGCACAACTTGCTTTCGTCATCATCGCTCCCGAACAACGCATCACCGCATCTGCTGTGGACAGGAAAATTGGGCAGCACAAAAATGTTGAGAGTTTTCGGCTGCATGGTACAGTACCGACCTCCATCTGCACGAGCTGGACGATTCTCTCAACGTGCACAGTGGGGACTACACCTGGGCATCGCAAAACATTACAACGCATGGAAAATTTTCGACATCAACAGCAAGGAAACAGTAGCAGCACGTGACGTTATCTTCTACGAGAACCTCACCCTCGGAACTCACCTCATGTACGTCGAAGAAAACAGACCTGACCTCTCGGGCGGATTTCATGGAAACCGAGCCTTCGCCTCGGCAGAAGACGAAGCTAACTGGGACGAGCAGAACGTAGAGGGAGCCTCGGAGGAAGCCAGACCTCTCCCTTACTACTCCGTGGATGTCCCAATGGATGACGAAAATCCTCGCGAAAGCATCAACGCCGACGTCTTCTACGACCTCGCCTACAACGGTTACGTTATACCTGCACAGGTCAACACTAATGAAGCAGAACGCGTAGGACCAAATTTCAATCCAGCACCTGAAACGGGAGACGAAGCAGTTTATCCCGAGGACACCACACTCCCCCGCTACACACAGAGTGGACTCCAGATCCTTGGGCTCGTCACTGCAGTCCACGGCGCGACGATTCCTAAGGAGCCTGCGACAGTTCAGCAGGCTCTGGGGGGGGAGCATAAGGAAAAATGGCGCGAAGCCATGGCTAAGGAGCTGAAGGCATTAGAGGAGCGCAACACGTGGAAAGTTGTTCCCATCGGCGTAGCACGGAATAAGACCATTCTCACTGAGAAATGGGTCTTCCTCGTAAAGACGAAAGCCGACGGCACCATCGAGAAGTTCAAAGCACGATGGGTCGTGCGCGGCTTCGATCAAGAGCAAGGACGGGACTTCACCGAGACCTTCGCACCGGTCAGCCGACACACCTCGCTGCGAATTCTCCTCGCGATCGCCGCCATGAAGAAAAGGAAGCTGCGGCAAATCGATGTCGCAAATGCCTTCCTCTACGCACCCGTTGACGCCGAAATCTTCGTCGAACTACCACACGGAACCAACGGAAAACCTAACCACGTCTGTCAACTACTCAAATCGCTCTACGGCATCAAGCAAGCCCCACGGCTATGGCAGCAGTACCTGCACGCCTAAGTTAATCGGCTACGTCGACGCCGATCACGCCGGCGACTCCGACAACAGGCGCTCGCGCACCGGCTACATCTTCGGTCCTATCTCGTGGCAGTCGAGCAAACAGGAACTAATTGCTCTCTCCTCAGCTGAAGCAGAATACATCGCACTCTGCTCAGCCACCAAGGAAGGACTCTATCTTCGCGAACTGCTGGAAGAAGCAAAATTGGCTCAGTTACCCAGCTTCACCCTGTTCTGCGACAACCAGTCGGCAATTCGTATAGCCAACAAAAGCGGCTTCGCGAACAGGACGAAACATATCGCCCTGCGATACTTCTTCGTGAAGGACGAGATCGAAAAAGGAAGGCTCGAACTGTCATACTGCCCCACATCCGAGATGGCAGCTGACTACCTGACCAAGAAGCTCGGGAAACAGAAGTTTGAGTACTGCATGCTGCTGACTGGACAGAGCCACGTCATCAGCTGCGACACTCCAGAAGCGAAGGGGAGTGTTGGAAACAATGAATCTTAAGCGCCTCTGTCGTGCCGAAACACTATGGCACAAGCGAAGCGAAGCACGTCGAAACACTAGCGAGTCAACCCTCGGAGGTTGAAAGTAACTGTTGGAGGTTACGCGAAAGTCAAAGGTCAGCGACCTTTGACCTGACAAGTACAGTGCGACAGCAAGGACACACAACTGACTCGCTACAGAGCGGTTGCCCGAGTCGTCACTGTATCGAATCGCAACAGCAAACAGTAAAGTAGTTATAACTGTATCTCTTCGTATTCCTTGTACTCTTATATAAATGCTTGTATCTCTTTGTTTTAATCAACTTACTTTGCCCTCACATACCAGCGCAAGGTGGTTCACAAACTCTTCATTAAACGCTTCCGCTATTACATCATCTCTACCCAGAGTTTACCCTTGCAAAAGATCCTAAGGGCTTTTCTCAGCCCAACACGGGGGATTACGGTAGAAGCCCCGGCGCCTTTAATCAGGCGGCGCTACTATCCGGGGCGATACGGTATGTCTTATCTCGTACACACAAATAGGTGTCTTATAATGAGGCTAGCCTGTTTATAAGTGACACCTGGATAATAGACAACCCCTGTCTACTATTCAACACTGTCTACTATCCGGGCGATGGCGGTACACTTTGACACACCCCCTAGGCTTGGTAAGGAACACGATTTGTTATAAGCTCACCTGCGTCTCTATTCGGTGGGTGACGGTACGGTGGTGTCTATTTTATACCCACCCAAAAAGCAGTTACAGTACTCAGGGATGCTAAGCTGTGATTGGTGCATCAAAGCACAAGGGACCACGATAATGCTTGATGTGCTTTTGCCTTTGCCAGCAGCAACCAGTCTTAGCATTGACCAAGAATTAATGAGCCATAGAAACAAGCACTTACAGATGCATGAACAAGGGTGCAGTGGGCACAAAAGGAATCATAGCATCCCCCAACAAATATACCAGCCCCTCAACTAGCAGGCCCACATTCTCCCCACTTTCACTTCTCCCCCCCGTCCCCTGCCCATGCGACTCAGCACCCCCGCCCACCCCAGCCAGGGCGGCCAGAGCGGCCCTGGTGGGAGCGTCCTCCACCTCGTAGTCGCGCCCGCTGCCATTCTCGCTGCTCACCAGCACTGGCCCCACACGCTCCGCCACGGCCCACAGCCGCCCCACCCCGCCCGCCTCCCACTCGCTGCTGTCGTCGTCGTCGTAGGCGCCCTCGCCCAGCCCCATGTGGAAGCCGTCCAGCCCCGCCAGCCCGCCCCCGCGCTGCTGCCCGCACTGCAGTGCCGGGAAGAAGAGCAGCAGCGATGCCTCCCTGCCCGCCGCCGCGTAGGGCAGTGGCGGCGGCAGAGGGGGCACGGTGCGCACGGCAGGTACAGCCACTCGCGGGCTGGCAGCGAACCTCACCCCCCCTCCAACACGCTTCATCCCCCCCGATGCCCCTCCACCCACCCCAGCTGTGCCCCCTGCCCCTGCTGCACCTCTTGCACTCGTGCCGCCTTCACCACCGCCCCCCCAACCGTGTGCTGCCCCGTCCACCCCGTCGCCCGCCAGCAGGCGGGGCAGCAGCGCCGGGTGGTAGAGGCGCAGGTGAGGCGCCACCGCCACTGATGCCGCTTGCTGGGGGGCGAGAGGGTGGGGGGCGGGGGGGGGGAGAGAGGCAGGCATGAGGGGCATGCGGGGAAGAGTGAGGCGTGGTGAGAAGAAAAGCAGAAGTAGAAGTTGATGATCTCAACTGAAGCGAGTGTCAGAATGTAACAGTGGAATGAGTTGTGACTAGTAGGAGATGGGTACACATGGCAAACCCCAGTAAGAGTTGTACCCTATACTACAATGCACCCCATTGTGACCTAACAAATCTAACACACATGTGAATTTAGTTTGACAGGGAGATCACTGAGTAGCTGTGGAACTAAACATGCAACAGCCCCCACAGCACTCACCTCTCAGAGCCCACAGCGAAACCTGCACGGCCCCCTTCCTCGCTCACCTGCACGGCCCCCCAGACCCGCCAGGCCTCTTGCTGCTTGGACGGGGTGGGTGGCGAGGAGCAGAGCCCTGGCACGCCCATGTGCGCCTGCAACAGCCGCACGTACAGCGGTAGGTGCGGCAGCAGCAGCACTCGCACCTGCAGGGGGTGCACCGGGCAGGGGGGGGTCATTGGCAGGATGAGAAGATGGTGATGGGAGGAGAGGAGGGAGGGGAGACTGAGGAGGGAGGGATAAGGAGGCTGCAAAACAGTGTCAGCAGCGGAGACTGGGGGTGGGAAGGCGAGGCAGTGCAGAGGCATGGCTGGAGGCGCGTGGCATGATACGAGCAGACATGATACGAGCAGGCATGATACGAGCAGGCATGAGCGCACCACGGTGGGTCCCAGGGCAGTGAGAGCGCGGATGGCACCAAAGTGTTGAGGCAGCGAGCGCTTGGGGTCCAGCAGAGTGTGCAGCAACGTGCGCGTCAACCGCGGCTGCAACGACGCGTAGGCTCGGCCGAACCTGAGCGAGAAGCATACAGAAGATGCATGAGAACAATAAACGAGCGCCAATGAACATGAACGGGGGAAGATAAGAGAAAGGTGGTGGAGGGCACTTAAGGGTGATGGGAGTCGTAATGGCACATGGTGGAGGTGTGAGGTGACCTGTGGCAGATGAGTGCGAGCAGCGCGGCAGTGAAGGCTCGCAGGTGCCAGTGGGCGTGGTGCTGCCGCTCGCCCAGACGCTTCGCCACCACACATGTCACCATGGCCGGCATCAGCTGGTGCAGCTGGTGGCTCGAGAGAGAGGGATGGGGGGGGAGGGGGGGAAGGTGGAGTGAGGGAGGGAAGGGAGAGTGTTGCCCAGCACAGCAACAGGAAGCGCATGCATCCATGGAGCATGGAGGTCCATGTGCGCGCACTGACTCACGCATGGCTCCATGACTCATGTATGGCTCCATGACTCACGCATGGCTCCATGACTCATGTATGGCTCCATGACTCACGTTTGGCTCCATGACTCACGTATGGCTCCATGACTCACGTATGGTTCCATGTGGAGGTGCGGGTTGAGCAGCAGCGCCCTGGCCAGGCGCATGAGGCCGCCCAGCAGCGAGCAGTCGTCCAGCGACCGCATCACCTGGGGGCAAGCAAGATGGCAGCGGGTTTTGAGAGGATGTGATGAGGAGACAAGGCGATGGCACTGCGTGATGCAGAAAGGGGGTCGTAGCAATGAATGGGTGTGTGCGCGGATGCAATGAGCGAAAGCGGATGCAGCGTAGAGAGTAGGGAGGGTTGGTTTCACGAGAAAGTGGGATGTGCCCGACAGGACACATGATGCAGTTGAGACGGCATTCCAGCACGTGTGGTGGCTGTGTGATGGAGCAGATGCACGTAAGGCGAGGGCAAGAGGCGGGGCAGTGCAAGGCAGGGGGACTGGCCTCGTCAGCAATGAAGTGCACCAAGTAAGGTAGCAGCGCATGCAGCCCCGCATCCACCGCCACACTGCGCAGCGCATGTGACAACATACTCTGCTGCTGCTGCTGCTGCTGCTGCTGCTGCTGCCCCCCTGCAGTGGCAGCAGCGGAGGCGGCGGGGGCAGGGGGGCGGGCAGTGAGCAGCACGAGCTCGGTGACGCGCTCGAAGTAGAGCTGCGCGCGCAGGGGGCGTGGGGCGGTGGGCAGTGACGGGGCATGACCCAGTGAGAGTTGTTACAGCGAGGCTTGAAAAGTAAGAACACAAGGGAGTGAGCAACATGAAGCAGGGTGTGCGTGCGCAGGGAAGCAATGGCAGAGGTGTGGAAGCAATGGCAGAGGTGTGGAAGCAATGGCAGAGGTGTGGAAGCAATGGCAGAGGTGTGGAAGCAATGGCAGAGGTGTGGAAGCAATGGCAGAGGTGTGGAAGCAATGGCAGAGGTGTGGAAGCAATGGCAGAGGTGTGGAAGCAATGGCAGAGGTGTGGAAGCAATGGCAGAGGTGTGGAAGCAATGGCAGAGGTGTGGAAGCGAAGGTGAGGCATGGAGAATCGAAGGTGCTGAACAGGACCATGACGGCAATGGGGTTTTGGAAGGCAAAGGTGAGGGACACAGCGAACAGGGACGGTAAACAAAGTTGACATGCAAGGGAGGCGGAGTGTATGAAGGGGCGGCACCTGCAGCTCCTTGGACAGCACGTGCTTACCTGCAGCTCCTTGGAGAGCACGTGCTTACCTGCAGCTCCTTGGAGAGCACGTGCTTACCTGCAGCTCCTTGGACAGCACGTGCTTACCTGCAGCTCCTTGGAGAGCACGTGCTTACCTGCAGCTCCTTGGACAGCACGTGCTTACCTGCAGCTCCTTGGACAGCACGTGCTTACCTGCAGCTCCTTGGACAGCACGTGCTTACCTGCAGCTCCTTGGAGAGCACGTGCTTACCTGCAGCTCCTTGGACAGCACGTGCTTACCTGCAGCTCCTTGGACAGCACGTGCTTCACGGGCAGCTTCACCTCCACCACCTCCCCCCCACCTGCCCCCCCTGTTGCCCCCGCCCCTGCTCGCTGTGCGCCGCCCTCTGCTGCCCGCCCCCCCTCCGCCTTCACTGCTGCTGCGGGCATGCCTGGGGGGCGCAAGGGCACGAAGCATATGAGGTGGGTGGTTGTCAGTGACGGGCATGCAGCGCAGTGCTGTGCACACGGCAGCTGAGGGATGGGACGCACGGCCCTTGGCAGGGGACGTGCACGGATGCACATGGCACCACGGCCACGCCTTGCCACGCCTCGCTCACTGACCCACTCGCCCCACCCCTCCCACACCCCAGCTGTGCGTCATCATAGTCCCCCACCGCACCTGCGTTGGTCCCTTAGCCACTCAGCCCTCTCCCAACCCAGCAGCACGACCACCCCCATCGCCGCATGCCACACCGCATCCCACCACTGTACATCCCCTTGCCTCCCCCTCGCCCACCTGCGGGCGGGGCGTTTTCAGGGGTGGCGGGCTGCACGCCGTCCACAGCCAGCCAGTGCGCCGCCACACTCACGTCCGCCGGGGCGCTCGGCACCCCCGCCTCCACCACCTGCGCGGCACCGCGCACCCGAGGCACGGCACAGGGGGGGCGCCCACGCTCGCACGTGGTGAGACAAGAGGCGCGGCCAGGCATGCGGGGAGCGATGATGCGGGCAATGGAAGGAAGGGACAGCACAGGACAAGTGCCGTTGCCGAGAGGGTTTCGCTCAGTTGGTGGTTGGAAGTGGAAGGCACAAGCAGGCATGGCAGCAGCGTGGTGACACTCCATGTGCCACCACTCAGCAAGTGTGCCGTGTGTAAAAGGGCCACCTGGGAGAGCGGGTTACCTGGGAGAGCGGCAGCGTGGGGTCGTGCAGGAAGACGATGTCGCTGTGCCCCACTGCCCGCCGGAACCGCACACTGTCCGCCGCTGCCAGCCCAAACAGCGGCTGCCACCGCCCCGGGGGAAGGAGGGGGGAGGGGTAGGCGGAGGAAGGGGGGAGATGAGGGAGGTGAATGCAGAGGGGTGGATAGCATGCGAGAGTGCAATGCGCGGGGAGGGGAGAAGAGCCTTGAAGCGTGCTGCCCAGCCCAGCAGCAGCATGCGCGGCAGCAGGACAGCTGGCAGCAGCGGGACTCACCTCAACGTTCCGCAGGCTGAGGGCGGCTGCGATGTCAGCGGTGGTGAGAGTGGTGCGCCGGCTGTGCCGCATGCACTTCACCGCCTCCTGCGCGGCACACGACAGGCGGGCGTGGCATGGTGGGCGGGGATGGCAGAGCATGAGGTAGTGGGAGAGCGGAGGGAGAGAGAGGAGCGAGGAAACGGGAGCAGGGGTTGTGAGAGTTCCACGCTGACCGATGCTGCGAGTCGCCCGCGAGTACTATGCAACGGCTGCGATTATGCGCGCATGCGACCTCGCCCCGCACCCGCGCCGTCGTGCTCCCTCCTCCTCTGTCCACGCCCCGCCCACTCACGGCCCCACCCTTGCCCATGCGGCCGTGCCTGGATGATCTCCCGCATGCGGTACTCCACGTCGGGCGCCAGCGCGGCAGCCACGTCATCGCCGAGACTCGCGATGCCGATGCTGTGCGCCGCCACCTGCACGCTCTCCCGCGGCACCACGCTCATCGCGCCCGCCGCCCGCCGCTCGCCGCCCCCTGCCCGCCGCTGCTAGTCACGCGCTGCTCGTCGCCCACGACCGCCACTGGCAGTGGCTTCGCTAGAACTGGTCGCTGCGCTCAGGTCAAACAGAGTTAATCACTATGCTGCACGTCAAATCAGGGAAAGCTTATTTAGGTTTTGTTCTAATAACACACACTACTGGATTATGCTTCTACTGAGGCGCTACGCATTGTGAGAAAAAATGCAAATGCTAAGGGCGCGTGTCTTTTTCTGTAAAGGTCCGGATATCTGGTTGAACTTTTGCTGGTTACCCTTTTCGCTAATGTCTGTCAACTGCTTCGCTTGTCTCCCAGGTGTCTGTCAATTGCTTCGCTAGTACAGCATTGTGGATAAAGTAGTACACCAACCTGGGTTGATCTTTCGGCTCAAACCAGGCGTGAACGAAAATTCACTCGTTTGTCCTTCAGACAACACAGGAGCTGCTGCGAACTAGGCGACAGTCGCAGCACGAATCGTGGGCACGAAAGCCTTCGGAAATCAGTGTTTCGGCATCGCCAACAAACACGTGGCAAACCGGGTAACCTACGTGGTTTGGCTGCGACTCTGCAAAGTTCAACTTCGATAGTTGAACTTTTGTGCGTCCTGTGATTCTACTGAGTGGAGGAATAGCGACTCGGGCTACAGTTGCCGATTATGTCGAGCCCAGGTCAACCAAGGTTCAACTGTGTACAGCTCCACTCAAAACTCGGGTTTTGCATATAAATTTCAAGAGGCACGCGCCCTAAGAAACCATGTGTAACGAAATGCCTTTTCACTTTTACCTTACGAGGTTTGTGTTGACAGGAAATGGCCCCGCCTTCTCTTAGTCTAAGACGACTTAATAGTCGGATGCGCGGGAGTCGACGCCAACTTAGGCGAGCAGGTCGACAAAGTTGGTCGACCGGCGCAGGACCACTGCGAAGCCGCCGACGAGAGAGATCGGTGGCCGGCTTCGACCTAGGTAGTCGACGATGGAGTTCATCGGCTTGTGGGGACGCCGACCTCGGAAAGTCGGCGGACGGTGTCGACCAAGGCGGTAGACGAGCATGTGCACCAGTTGGCGGGCTTCTACCGTCCGCCAAGTCGACGACGATTCCGGAGCAACTCGGTCGACCAAGTTACCTGCTCGACGAGGATCTGCAGAAGTGTCGGTCGAGCAGACATTCCTCGACGGGATGCGGTCGACATCGCCGGCAGAGGACGCTGGTCGACGAGCTCTGCTCGAGGAGCTCGTCTCGGCGAACGCTGTTCGACGGTGCATCATTGAGCTGGTCGACGGAAGTCGCTCGACTGCAAAATCCTACATGTGGGCAAATGTTGCCTATGAGGTTTTTGTGCTGCAGAACAGCATCATGTGCTCGACAGTGCACGGCTGGCGAAACCGTCGACACGTGTTCAATCTAGCACCCGCGCAATGTGTCTGGCGGCGTGACCGTCTACTTGCACCTACTTGGTAGGTGCGCAAATGCGCACTAGTTCACATGCGTCCGCAGTGATGGCAGACCGCCGCGATGCAATGCTGGCAGGCCATCCTACTGCATGGCAAGCCGCTCTTCTGCAGCGCTAGCAGAGTTCACCCTGCAGAGAGCTTGCTAGAAATTGTAGTGCCATTCTAGCTATATCGACTTGCATGACTCATTGTAAACAAATTTTCTTCTCAATTTCCTCAGTAAAACTCTTGCCAAACTTCTCTGTAGACACATCAAGTAGTGAGAACGTTGCAATGCTACGGTCACTCGCAGAACCATGTGCCCTCCTCTATAGTCCACTTCCCTTGTATAGTGACTCTCCGCATGGTGCGGTGAACGTGGACGACCTCGCAAAATACCTTCAGTTAGTAGCCGACGTATCACTTACCCACGTCGTTGTTGGGTCGGTAGCCCGTGCAGACCATGAGGCCTACCCCGGTAAAAGCCAGCGATATAGAGAATACCTTGAAGGCACGGTTGGTTAACGTTAGGAGACGCCACACGAATGGCGAGTACGGTGGAGCGGACGTGGAGGTGCTATTCCTAGGAACTCGTGTGTAGTGGGTGCGCGAGCATCCAACACCCCGTGCTGGAGCGCACGATGTGTTCGTTTCTCCTCGACCGGTACGCAATGACAGCAGCGTCGATGACCACGTCGAGGACGATGACCAAGTCGGCAGCGACGAAGGATGGATCGTGACCTGCCCCGCCTCTCGCTTGAAGACGTGAAGCGAGCAATCCTTCAAGAGGACTTCCGCCGCCGTGAGTTGGCGGGTTCGGATGGCGTCGGGGAAGGAAGCATTGGCCGTGGATATGGCCATGGAAGACGAAGGTTTGGCTGCAGTAACAATAATAGAGACGGTGAGAATGGTGGATACGGCAGCGACAATAAGTGTCACGGACGCGCTTGCGGCCGATTTGATGGCGAATGTCATTATTGCCACAAGAGCGGACAAATGTGGCGCGATTGCTTCAAGCTCCCTGTTGAGAGTGCACTGACCCTGCAGAAGGTGGTCGTCGCTTTCTGCAGAGGGGGAGCGAATTCAGCAGAGGTCGACGCGGAGTTCTGCAGGGAAGTTCGCAGAAGCAGTTTCCGCTGCAGAGGAGAGCGCATCAGCAGAAATCGGGTCTGCAAAGGAGGGCGCATCTGCAGAAAAGAATTTTTGCAGAGGAGCGCGTCCTCTTCCGACGAACCTCTTCGACACAAAAGTGTGATCGCTTCGGAACATTTCGGAACATTTTGGGACATTGAGAAGGTGACCTCGGGAAACAGTGCGCGGAACTGGGGTATTCAATTTGGGGCGAAACTGAACCACCTGCACAAACTGAACCTGGCGCACGTTTTCGTAACTACGAAAACGTGCGTTACAGAAGTTGTTTAAAATAACCTAAATAGTTAAACAACTACTTTTAGGTAGGTAAAGATTATCAACTAAGCACGTGTTGTAATTTTCACATGCCGACGCTGAGTTGGCAAAGCGCAGCTAAAAGTAGTTAGGTAAACGTTCTTGTGCGAACGCTCTCTGCTTGGTTCAGTGGTTGGGTAGCTTCTATTTCACCCCTTGTATTCTATTTTCAATATTTTCCAGTAAATCTCTTTTGTGTGCCAACTCTGTGCCTTCAAAGGCTTCGACAAATTTCTGTCTCCTTAGTGAACCACCAATATCGTGTCTACGCGGACAGCATTCCGTAGAGCTCGTTCACCCGTTAGAGCAGATTTCTCTGCACGGTGCGGTGAGCGTGGATCGTCAAGATCAATGTGGAGGGAGTCCATTGAGCCTCAACTTGAAATCACGCAGCTGAAGTAGTTCATCGACGGCTCGATCAAGATTCCACGGCTGAGCGATACTTCACACCATACACAATTTCGCTCGGTGCAGCTGCTGACTTTCATGGTCATATCGCGATGACGCTCTCCATCCGTGAAGATCGCCTTGAAATCATGTCGTCTTCGAGTGGACACGGGTTACCAGGCGTGGCGCTTAACCATGGAGTCCTACAAGCAAAGGACTACCTCTACATCGGCCAGCTGGAGGAAAGCTTCACGACGTTAGAGATGGCGGAGCATGAGACGGTGACGACTTATTGCAATCGTGCGCAGCTGATTCTTGCTAATCTGCGGATGGCCAGCGTAAACTATTCGATGGCCTCGTTCGTGGCTCGTGCCGTCAAAGGTCTTCCCTCGGAGTACAAGTATTTTCGACAAATGCTCCAATCTCCGGAAAATTGCAACACCCTTGACGAAAACACACTAATGAGCAAGATCGTCGCTGAAGAGTGCATGCTCGAGCTCGAAAAACGGAAGGAATCACCTCTGCCACAGGTCCATTGGGCTTCGACAGGACAGCAGAAGCAGCAACAGCAGCAGCATCGGCAATAGCAGCAGCGTTGGTCTTCTTCGACATCCGAAGCCTCTACGGAGCAGAAGTCGTCGAACAAAGAGCTTCATGGTCGACAGCCGAACAACAAGCAGAGCTCCAAGAAGCCTTGTTGGGTCTGCGGAGAAATCGGGCATTTTGCGTTCCAGTGTGAACAACGCGCCGACAAGAATGACAACGCTCCTGCGCAGAAGGAAGTTCTTGAAAAAGAAAGGCCCTTCTTGCGCAATGGTGGGACAAGTTGTCGACCAGGTGCAGACAATCGATCTACTCACTTCGGTGAACGCAGAAGACGGTGAGGATTTTCAAGCGATTGCTGCAGCCGTCGAGGCCGATCCTACTGTTGTTCTTCTTGACAACGGCTGCTCTCATCATCTGATGGGGGACGACGCAACCTTTATCGAATGCATGAAGGTGGCGACATCAAACATGTTTGTGGCTTCAACGGTGCCTTTCAAGCAGTGCGCGGTCGCGGAACAATCGCTCTATGCGGCGAAGGTGGGAAGCAGATTTTGATCCCTGCTGTGCTCTACGTACCTAAAATCTGTTGTCTGCTGGGCAGCTGAAAGACTGTGGGGTCAAGCTGAAGGATGAAGGTGAAGAGACCCCCTTCTCTCTACTGATATGACATTCCTTGGACGCGCTCATTATCGAGGACAAGTGTTCAGCACAGGTCTCCAGGTGTGGCCGCTGCAGAAGCCGTCAGAGGAGGCGATTTCTCTGCGCACCTTGGCGACGGATACACGGGTGAAGATGGATGTGTGGCACCCTCGACTTGCACATGTGGGCGTCGAAACAATCAAGCAAACAGCGATGCATGGTGCTGCGACAGACTTGGATAACGACAAGTCAGCCAACCCTGATCTAGCATGTGTTTCTTGTGTAGGGGGGAAGCTTGTTGGACATAGTTCCCTTCAAGAGGGGAGTGAGGAGCAGGAGGTACTTGGGGTAGTGCGCATCGATCGCTGCGGGCCCTTCCAAGTTCCTGCAAAAAATTGGCAGCTGCTACTTTCTTCTACTCAAAGATCGCAAATCTCGCTACGTCCGGATCTACCCGATTGCGCAGAAAAGCGATGCTCTGCGCGTTTTCCAGAATTGGCTTCCGCGTGCAGAGAGGCAG